CAGGTTGATAATCAGGTAAGAACACCTTCAAGTCAAACTTTTTTTTCCAGAACAAATTGCTTCTCCTTCTGATAACTCAATTTAGGAAAGACCAGAGGAAGAAGAAGAAGAAGAAGAGTCAAATCCAAGTTTTGAGAAAATTTTCGGTGGGGAGCTGAAAATATTAGGAGAAGTAGATCAGGTTTGTTAAAATAAGGAAACTATGTTAAACAATTGCTGCTTTGAACTAAATTTTGAAGAACTCTTTCTTGATGAACTGAGATCTTTGGAAAATAATCAACAACCAAAATTTTAGAACACAACCATGAATCTTGGAGTTGAGGAAAATGCTACAGAAGAATTGGTTGTTAGAAAATAAAACTTCACAGTACAAGAGTCTAAAGAAGAATTGGTTGTTAGAAAATAAAACTTCACAGTACAAGAGTCTAAGTTCATTAAGAAATACAAAATGCATGACACCAATAATACCTACCTTACTTTGTTGCAAGAATTATTGAACACTCCGGAGTGCTTGGAATTTCAGCACATTGTTGATTATATTATTCTAAATTTATTTAAAATCCGAGGAAGAATTTTCAATAATAAGGTAGGATTCAATGTAGAATATAAGCTCTTCATGTTGAACACTTTATTCTACTTTGTTTGTTTTGTTTATTTCAGAATAATAAAAAGAATTTATTCTTCTCTTGTTTGAGAGTTTCTTGTTCAGTTGTAAAAAAAAGAGAGAGAGAGAAAAAAGAAGAAAAGAGAGAAAAGAAAAAAAGAAAAAAAAAAGAAAAAAAAGAATAAAATTTTGATTTCATCCTCCTCAGACCAAAGGTAATTGTAGATTTTTATCAGCCAACCAAATATAAGTGCTTCACTTCTTATCTACTTTACTTTGTCTATCATAGAGTTTGCATTGAGGACAATGCAAAATTTAGGTGTGGGGGTGGGAATTAGTTATTTTTTTCTCTTATTTTACCTTTTAGTTGCATTTTTGACATTTTTTCTCTTCTTTTTCAAAAAAAAAAAAATTATCACTTGCCAAATTGATAGAGTTAAATAATAATTGTGTTATTTGATAAATTTTAAATTTTCTAATCCCTAGTTTGTTATTTACTTAAGTTTACCTTTTATGATAACTCTAAATAAAATTTCTTAAGAAATAATTTTTAAAGTAGTATACTTTACTTAAACCTTAACTTAGACTTTTATTTAAAATAATAGAATTTCTACATGCTTAGCTTAGAGTTGAAAATAATTTTTCAAAGTGTCTTGATTTACATATTTTTTAGAATATATATACATATATATATTAAAAAAAACTAACATTACAAAAAAAGAGTGCGGAAAAGCGGCACAAAAAAAAACTCTTGTATTTAAGGTGATTCTATCTTATAAAGCCTAAGCTGACTGAGTAATTAAGCCCAAGGAGTATTTCCATACTTAATGACCTAAGCCCAATTGGGTTGGGATCCATTGGCCTAAAACTCGTTAAATGGTCACTTAGAAAACCCGTTAAAGTAGAAAAAAATCACCAAGGAAGAAAGTGTTTAAAAAAAATTAATAATAATAATAATAAAATACTAACAAATATTATATATAGTATAAATGGCCTTGAAAAATATTTCTGATCAAGCAACTTGAATATTATTTTAAACAAAGAGTTAGCATGTTCTTTTCAAAATATTTAAATTAAATTTCTAAGTTTGGCTTAGTTTTGTATTGCAATAATGAGAAGATTTTCTGGGAAATTCACTTTGGAGTTATATATAAAAACGTTTTCTTGAGTAATAACTAGCTTCAATTAGATTGTCTAATTTTATCAAGTAATTTTTGTTATTTACTGACCTCTTTAAATTAACAAGTTGACCGAATATTGCGGGTATATTCACTGCAAACCCTCACGAGACTACAACTCATCCTCTAAGATAACCTAGGGGTTTAAAGGCTTGTTGTATACACTAAATACAACCGCGATTCCTGCGTAAGTGAGTTAAGATTTTCATTTTCTTTCTTTGCTAGAGGACTAGCAAAAGTTTAGGTGTGGGGGTATTTGATAATCATATTTTATTATAATTTTATATCCCTATTATCTCAGCTCAAGCTTTCCCCGTCTCGCTAAACGTTTTCACAGACGATACTTTCAGCATAACTAACTCTTCAAATTTTGAAACTCCAAAGGTCTTCATCTCTTATCTGCATAGCTCTTTTCTAACTCTGAGCGGCTAGAATCTGTTCTCTAATCAATGTTACTTTCTCAGTAATCTGTCTCATAAGCTCTGGCCCAAGCATTAAACTATCCTCCGGCTCTACCCAACATATAGGCGATCTGTAAGACTTCACGTACGATGCTTCATACGGGGCCATACCAATTGTCGCTTAATGACTGTTGTTATAAGCGAACTCTATTAGCGAAAAAAATGATCCTCCCAACTATCTTGAAAGTCAATGACACTAACTCGCAACGTGTCCTCTAATATCCGATTTACTCTCTCCGTCTGATCATCCATCTGTGGGTGGAATACACTACTGTAAGATAAATCTGTTGCCAAACGAATCCTAGAAACCCTTCCAAAAATGTGGAATGAACGCTGAACCTCAATCCGATACCATCGTATCTGGAACTCTATGAAGTCGAATAATCTCCTGAATCAATATCCTCGCATACGTCTTAGCTGTTTAGTTAGTCTCCACTGGAAATAAAATGTGCTGACTTCATTAGTCTATCCACTATCACCCAAACAGAATCATTCTCTTCCTTTGACTTCGACAACCCTACGATAAAGTCCATAGAAATATCCGCCCACTTTTACTAAGAAATCGGTAAAGGTTAAAGTATTCCTGCCGTTCTCTGATGTTCCGCCTTCACTTACTGATAGGTGAGACACTTAGCTACATACTCTAAAATCTTTCTACGCATATCACTCCACCAAAAGTGTCTCTATAGGTCCTTGTACATCTTCATCTTAGTTGTCCCTGAATGTACCGTGTACCGAGTACGATGTATTTCATCTAATAACTCCCTCTTAAGCTCTGCACTAGCTGGCATAAATAGTCTATCCTTCTTCCGTAGACCTCCATATGTTCCAATGGCTCAATTAGACTTAGGTTATTTGGTAATCTCCTTCTTTCAAGTTTGAATCCAAGAGTCTTCCGACTTAGCTAATGACAACTCCGTTACTCCAAGATGGCTGTACTAGCACAACTCCCAAAAATGTACTGGTTCCACAAACCTCGGGTCAAAAATCAAACTGGCTAAGAGTGAGAAGATCTCTATACAATGAACACCTCAAAGCCGAAACCCGATGTCGACGCTTCCTATTCAAAGCATCCGCTACGACATTCGCCTTCCCCGCATAATACTGAATCGTGAACTCGTAATCCTTGATAAATTCAATCCATGTCCTCTGTCTCTGGTTGAGTTCTTTCTAAGAGAAAAAATACTTCAGACTCTAGTAGTCTGTGAACAACTCAAACTGCACTCCATACAAGTAGTGTCTCTATGACTTCAATGTAAATACTACTGCTGCTAACTCCAAATCATGAGTGGGATAGTTCTGCTCATGTATCCTTAACTGCCGTGAGATATATGCTACTACCCTCTGAGTCTACATCAAGACGCCTCCTACTCCTGCCAATGATGCATCTGCGTAGACGACGAACGTCCTGTCGTTGCTCGGAAAAGTCAAAACTGGTGCTGAAATCAACTTAGTCTTCAAATTATCAATGGCCTTCTGGCACTCCACACTCCAAATGAACTGTACACCCGTAAGTGGCATCGAAATCTTTGAGAAGTCCTGGATGAACTTCCTGTAATAGCCAGCTAAGCCTAAGAAACTACGAATCTCTGTCACCATCTTCGGTGGTTCCCAATCAAGAACTGTTGTAACCTCAGTCGGGTCCACTGCTGTGCCCTCTCTACTGATGACGTGGCCGAGAAAACTGACTTCTGAAAGCCAAAATTCACACTTACTGAACTTAGCATATAACTGATGCTCCTACAGAGTCCTCAAAGCTAATCATAGATGTTCCTCGTGGCCTGCCTCCGATCTCAAATAAATGAGGATGTCATCGATAAAAACAATCACGAACTGATCTAAGAAGTGACGGAAAACCCGGTTCATCAAGTCCATGAATATCGCAGGTGCATTGGTCAGTCCGAATGGCATGACCATGAACTCAAAAGATCCATATCGAGTAAGAAAGGCAGTCTTGGGAATATCCATCTCCCGAACCTGCAACTGATGAAAATCAGAACGAAGATCAATCTTCGAGAAGAACTGCGCTCCCTGCAGCTGGTCGAACAAGTCATCAATCCTAGGCAATGGAAGATCAATCTTCGAGAAGAACTGCGCTCCCTGCAGCTGGTCGAACAAGTCATCAATCCTAGGCAATGGGTACCTATTCCGGATAGTGACCTTGTTCAACTCCCTATAATCAATGCACAATCTCATACTACTGTCCTTCTTCTTCACGAAGAGGACCGGTGCGCCCTACGGAGAATGACTCTGACGAATAAAACCCTAAGCTAATAACTCGTCCAACTGGGCCTGAAGCTCCCTCATCTCAGCTAGCGCTATGCGATAGGGTGCGCAGGATATCGGGGCTGTGCCCGGCTACAACTCAATATAAATCTCAACCTCTCACACAAGAGGTAACCCAGGTATGTCCTAAAAGACATCGTGATACCCTGAGACAACTCTAGTCTCCAATAAATCAATACTCTGATCCCGTCGCATCACCTCCTCGATGTACGTCAGAAATGACTCCGTAAAACAGTTTCCCTGAGAGGTTATTACAATCAACTCGGACCCATCAGATGCTCACAAATTGACTGTCTTCGCAAAGCAGTCAATACTAACATAGTAGGAAGCCAGCCAATCCATACCAAGGATGACATCAAACTCGGACACATGCAACACTATCAAATCTATGACAAACTCCAACTCATCTAGACTAAGGGTCTATTGTTCTTACCCTTATCTCCGGTGTGCCCTCTCTTAGCACTCCCTTACTTGTCCTTCTGAAACTTAGCCGTCCCATTTTCCTGAGAAATGGCGGTTTCAACTACTGGTGGTGGTTGTGTAATATGATTCGCCACAAGCTCCTCGATTGCTGCTATCTTAGCGACTAGGGGAGCCATAAGGTCTATCAGGTACTGGGGAGCCTGCTGCGACTCAGGTGGTGTCTGATGTGGCTCCGGGGGGGGTTGCTGTGATTCAGCCAGTCCAGATCTCTGAGTATGTGGCATACCATATTCTGACATCTGAGCATATAACAAAAAGAGTTCATGAGTCAAAATAGATATATATACATACATAACGTATCACCATACGATTTTCACAACATACAGTATTCACATAAATACTTTAAACAAAAATAGTTATCATAAAAAAAATTCTCAAATTTTTGAGATATACGCATAAATCGTCCTCACTCATACTAAGAAATTCTTATCGGACTCTATACATGAATCCTAAGAAACTCTATCCTAGCTCCACGACTCGACACAGGATGATCCTAAGGATACTGGAATTAGAGCTCTGATACTAACTGTGACGCCCCTGGGTTCACACAAGGCTGCAGCCCAAGGTAAAACCAAGAATGTCAAACCTGCCATGCGCCACACCGTGCAATAACATGTTTCACCATCACAACTACTATCTCTCTAGTAGAGTCAAATAATAGGTATAGGTACAAAAGCAAGTAAAAGATAATACAAGAGTCAACTGATAAAATAATAGAGATCAAATTAATACTTCATCATCTAACATACTAAAGTACAAGTCAATGTTTGAAGTGAATAAACTGGAACTTCTCAACAAGTCTCAAATACAAATATCTCAATAAAAGGAAAAAAAGAACACAACCTTTACAACTTCTAGAATAAACTCTCAAAATGTCTAAACAAAGCCTACAGTGGAGCTCAAAAGTAAAATATAACTACAATAGAATAGCTGAAGCTAAAGTGCCTCGCCATCAACTTACGACTCTCTGGGCACCGGGCTCGTTACCTGAAAGGGGGAGGGACAACGAGCGTCAAAGCGCTAGCGAGCAACATCACAACCAACCCCAAGGAAAATGGCTCGTTGTATATAGAAAATAAAGTTATAATATATATATATATATAATCACAAATCCTATTTAGGTAATTTCAACGTGAACATAAGTACGTCGAGCGAAATAATACAAACAAGGAAACCCTCATGTATATACCATGTAGCTCAGATTGTAAGTACCTAGGTATAAGAGGATTTTGGTATTTAGTAAGTTACAACACGAGCATAGGTACGTCGAGCGAAATAATCCAAATAAGGAAACCCTTATGTATATACCATGTAGCTCAGATTGTAAATCCCTAAATACCAAACCCAAGATCTAATGCAAGAACAAATAACTTAAAAGAATACAAAACCCATCTCTACTTCCAAACATAGTGTCATGCCGAACTCACATGTGTGTCATGTGAGAAAAACGATTAAGTGTTCAACACATAGACTATATAGATTAAATGTCCAACACATGGACTACATGAAGTAAACGTCCAACACATGGACTGAAAGTAACGAGTGTCCAACGCATGGACTGAATATAAACAATGTCCAACGCATGGACTGAATATAACCGATGTCCAACGCATAGACTGAATATAACCAATGTCCAACGCATGGACTAAATGTAACCAATGTCCAACGCATGGACTAAATGTAACCAATGTCCAACACATGGACTGAATGAAATGAATGTCCAACACAAGAACTGAAAGGTAATGCATGTCCAACACGAGGACTGAAAGGTAATGCATGTCCAACACGGGGACTGAGTAAAATGTATGTCCAACACGAGGACTAAATATAAATTATGCAAAGTGTAAGTGTCGTTGATACATGTATACACAAAAGATACACATAGACTCATGTCACACGTGCCTCGGTGTGCGGATCGGTACTTGTGTCAAAAGTCAACTCACATGTACAGATAAAGGTTATACATTAATTTCTAATAGCCGTCATTCAAGGCGACTCCTCGTCCATATTTAAGCACGCAGCAACAATAAACAAACATAAACAATTTCAGTTAAACTAAAATAACTCAAACAGATTCAAAACTGAAGAAATACAAAAGAAGAAAACTCCTCATTAGTCGACTCATTGGTCGACTCATCAGTCGACTCATAAGTAGACCAGACATAACACAAAACTGAAGTTTTCCCCCATCAGTCGACTCATTGGTCGACTCATCAGTCGACTCATAAGTCGACTCATGAGTAATCGTTTTGACAGATCAATTCGTATT